AATTACTCTGAATTAAAAACTCTGATCATTTATTGAACAGGATGGAATCATTTCACATTTAAAGATCTTTCAGAAGTTTGGATTCTGAATATGAGCGACTTTTCCTTTAATGGTCTCTCAGACAGGACTCGGCGCGCGCACCACTGCGCTCTTTTCAATGGCACGCGCCGGCCATGGCGATAAAAGCAAAGACCTTATAAATAAAGTTCTAAAGTTATAAAGAAAACACATTTTCCATTCATGAAAAACATTTAAAATGATGAGCTAATATTCTGATATCACAGTTTCAGAATTATATAAAATGTTTTTTCTCCATTATTTAAGTTTATATATTTAGGTTTATGCATCGATGTCTTAATGTTTGTTTTTCTTACACATTATTCCTTTTTGACAACTTCCTGTGCCCATTTTGTGTGATAATAAGAGCTGCTGCGATTTTCTCCATTCTGATACTAAAATATATATTTTTTTATTATTTCAAACAGACAGTCACCTTGCCTGTAAGGACATTTTATCTCAATTAGCAGCTGATAAAGAACAAAAAACAAACTAATCATTCAAAACTTTTGATAATAAGAATATTTTATATCAAGCTATAAATGCATCGTTGTTGATTTGAGACAATGAGCTAAAGATCTCCGGGATTCAGCATGCAGTTCCAACAAGTGACCACTTGAGGGTGCTAACATCTAAAGTTAGAGGCAGCTTGTCATCAGTAAAAGGTTCCCTCAAGTTGTTTTTTTTTTTTTTTTTTTCTTAACTCTAAAAGCATCCTTAAATTAGAGGCAAACTGACTTTTGTGAAAATGTTTCAACACCTTCCCAGTAGTCTTTGTCTGTTGGCTCCATCAGAGCAAACTTTTAATGGAGCGCTGATGTATTTAAGCAGCATGGAGGTCCTGCCTCCTGCACACATTCCATGTCAGAAACTAATCCGCCACCATTTGTTCTACAGGGGCAGATTTAGGACATTTGGGGCCCTAAGCAAAGACAGGCAGGGGGCCCTGTGTTAATAGAACAGACATCCATTATCTGTTCTAGGTTGTGTCCCTCTCTTCTTGTCCCTTTTCTTCTTGTTTTCCTCTC